ATACATTTTTAGGTGGTATTCACGATGCAAAAGTGATGTAGTAACAATTATTAATGCACCTAGACTTGGACGACAAATTTATGTTCGTAATGATAAACTCATTGTAAAATTTAGAGAACGGATACAAAAAGATCATTGTTTTACTGTTAAGATGATGGCAGATGAATCTGTTGGTAATAGAAAGGCAATTCATTCAATATTTGTGCAAGATTTTGGCAAGAAAAAAGTTAATAGCCCGTTTGTATCACATTCATTGTTTGATGACCAAAAACATCAGCGGTTTGGGTACCCAAAAGACATCATCAAAACAAGAATTTTTGGCCCCAAAACAATTGTGTGTTCTCAACCTTTCACCCTATTTCCCAGATTTGTCTCCCTGTGATTATTTTCTGTTCCAAAAATTAAATTTTTCATTGGAAAGATGATTTTTAAACGGTTTTGATGACAACCAAAGAGCCGTAACATCGACTCTAAGGGTCATAACAACAGAAGAACTACAGAGCTAATTTTAGTTTTTGTTAGATCATGCCACTTGCTGTATAAATGCAAAATGGGCTTACTTTGAATGGAAATATAGGTTATAACTTCAAATTTCGATTTTAAAAAAATGGAATTAGTGTGATTACCTAATTGTCGCACCTTCTATATACTCTGAGAACTCATTAAACACTGTATATCGCAAACATAACCTTGAGGGTTAAGCAAGATATTTAAAAAAAAAAAAAACTATTACTACTACCATCACCATCACCAATTCAGTCTGCATATAAAGAGGTGTAACGAAGACAGATAATAAAGTATTTTTTTAGTGAGTGAGTGTAGACTGTGATTGTTATTTTTTGATGTCTTCTATTCTAATTAATGAACTTGTTTAAAAAAGCAACACTGCTCCATACCAGGAATGTCGTAGGAGGTGAGTAAGCGTAGGGATGGATTGTGGTTGGTTTCCTAATTTTATTTGAAAACACACACACACACAAGCCACACACACACACACACACACACACAAGCCACACACACACACACACACACACACACACACACAAAACAATATTGAATATTCAAAACGATTTTTGTTAAAAAGAAACTCCCTACCAACCAAGAAAGGACTGGGCGAGAGGTGGATGAGTAGATTGTTGCTCTACTAACAGAAGAATAATGACGCGGTTTAGAGAATTTAAAAAATAGAAAGATATGGAGAGTGAGAAAGGCTGTGTGTTATAAAGAATAGTTATGAATCATTGTAAAAAAATAAGTAGAGATTAGATATATTCACACAAGTAAACCATACATAAATCGTAATGACTGTTTTTATTATCAGATGAGTTAACGTACCTGTTTCACCTTCCAGTTTGTCATCCAAATCTCGTCCTTAAAAAAGAAAGAGGAGAAAACAAAAAAAACATCATAAAATCTCTTCAGTCTGTAGCGAACAGAATGAATATTTGACGTAGGCATCAGGGAATTCAAAACAATTAGATAACAGCAGAAGACAAAAACAAGAGACAGGTATTTATATTCTAGGGGCAGATCTTTCCACAGGAGGAGGAGGAAAGAACGAGTAGAAGAAGGAGGAGAAGAAGAAAGAGGTGGAGAAGAAGAAGAAGAAGAAGAAGAAGAAGAAGAAGAAGAAGAAGAAGAAGAAGAAGAAAAAAAAAAAAGAAGAAGAAGAAGAAGAAGAAGAAGAAGAAGAAGAAGAAGAAGAAGAAGAAGAAGAAGAAGAAGAAGAAGAAGAAGAAGAAGAAGAAGAAGAAGAAGAAGAAGAAGAAGAAGAAGAAGAAGAAGAAGAAGAAGAAGAAGAAGAAGAAGAAGAAGAAGAAGAAGAAGAAGAAGAAGAAGAAGAAGAAGAAGAAGAAGAAGAAGAAGAAGAAGAAGAAGAAGAAGAAGAAGAAGAAGAAGAAGAAGAAGAAGAAGAAGAAGAAGAAGAAGAAGAAGAAGAAGAAGAAGAAGAAGAAGAAGAAGAAGAAGAAGAAGAAGAAGAAGAAGAAGAAGAAGAAGAAGAAGAAAGAAGAAGAAAGAAGAAGAAGAAGAAGAAGAAGAAGAAGAAGAAGAAGAAGAAGAAGAAGAAGAAGAAGAAGAAGAAGAAGAAGAAGAAGAAGAAGAAGAAGAAGAAGAAGAAGAAGAAGAAGAAGAAGAAGAAGAAGAAGAAGAAGAAGTAGAAGAAGAAGAAGAAGTAGAAGAAGAAGACGAAGATTGGCTAACGTCACTTTTACGCCATCTTTTGATAAACATTCTTATATAAAAATTAATGCAGTTTAATTTTGGTTTTTTTTTTCATATGATAAACATGCTGGGTGATACCCCATTTTTAAACTGCATTGTTGATGATGAGATTGAATTAAAAAAAACCACTGTTTTTGAAGCGCAAAGCGGTGTGCAGAGAAATTGCCCGCTGTTGCAAATAATTCGGGTATTGTGGAATTACGAAACTCTTTTGCAACGTCTAAACTACAGATACTGACAGTATATTTTACAGAAAAATAATAAAACACTTTAACCGAGTATAATGCTGTAGAAATTCTTGATAAAAAACTTTAAACTTTAAATGTTATTCAGAGGGTAGGATTTAGAAAGCACACTGTAAGGTTGAAGAAGACAATTGGAAATTTATTACACGCAGCAAAGAGAGTATTAACATTTAAACATAACAGCAAGACCTATTTTAGAATACACAATTGAAAAAGAAAAGTATTCACCACTCCTTAAAAAATGTAGCCATTAACAGATAATTACCAATACTGAAACACTGAAAAGAAACTATAGTGAGACAGCATTTAAAAAGGGATTATGGTCAGTGGGATCATTATCATCATCAGTATCATCGCCCTGTTGTGTCATTACATTTTACATATGGCTCACAGTCTTTTCAATATCTTGGATAATATAATCAGCCCAGCACTTTTGGACTGTCTCATCAACGTTTGCTGTGCAGTTTATTTTGGGCGTCATGGCTTCCTCAGTCCCTTTGTTTTTCCACTGTAACGTTTTCTCTCAGCCCATCCAATTTGTTTTTCGAAACCATGTCATTGAATTAGGTATCGTATAAAGATTGCAGACATCCAATCCCTGGAAATAGAAAATTTGGAATTTAAGGATGTGAAAAGGGGAACATGACTCAAAACATAAATTATTAGATTTTCATATTATCAGGATGAGTACATACTTTGCCAGCTAGAAGGGTTGTGAATCCATCTTTTCCCAAGAAAATCTGGAAAAAGAAATGAAATTTGGATCACAACTCAACAGTTATTATATTGTTGTGATTAAATTTCGCCTGAGACAGACATTTGAAATTATACTTCACAAGTTCAGATAAAACTTTAAAGGCACACTTGTTGCTAGTGAGACAGAAAATAATTATACAATAAGTAAATTGAAATAACAGATACAATTTCCGACAATTAAGCAATGAGGCTGATTTTATTATGGTTAAGACAAAAGTGACATACACAAAGCAAAGCATGGAATCTAAAGAGATGACATTAATCTATGATCTGGCAACTTTTTATTACCGGTCGATAAGCGACAGCAAACAAGCTGCCATTTTGTTGACCTAGTCAGAGATGCATTGCTACGTTATTAGCACGGAGCAAAAAGCTAACATTAAATTCTTTTTAAAACTCAGAAAAAAATGCGATTAAAACAGTTTAATTGATTCAACAAGTTTATGGGGATAATTGTTTATCTCCTGCACACATTTTCAGGTGGTATTCACGACTCAAAAGTGGTGTAGAAATGATTACTAATGCCCCTAGACCTGGCCGCCAAATTTATGTTCGTAATGATGAACTCATTGCAAAAGTTAGAGAACGGATACAAAACGATCATTGTTTTACTGTTAAGATGATGGCAGATGAATCTTTTGGTAATAGAGAGGCATTCAAGTGTGTTGAGAAATGAACAGACAGGCAGATTATATGGTGCTGGAGCACTTGGTGGTAGCAAACTGATGCATGATAAGGTAGATGTGGCCAAAGACGTTTGGAAGCGAGTGATGCACATATACATTATTACAGACAATGTGGATTATGCATAGGTTATGGACCGGAAGACCAGGCAAATCCTCAGCACTCAGAGAAACGCCTAAGCAGGCATGCAAGCAGACGACTACTAGTACCATCGGAGCTAAAACCCTGGCTGTTGAGGAAAGGAACGAGTCGTTTGTAGGGACGCCTCAAGTGCTGATACTGCGGTTGCTATGGCTAGTCCAGTATGGACAGAGGCGATGTTATCAATGCCATGCGCAGCACTTACCGTGTCGACGAGCACGCCAAAGTGCATGACTCCGTATCCCTGTCTAGGCTGATGGACAGGGGAATGCAGTCTGGAGCTGCAAGCGATGAACATTTTACTAAGTTTTATTAATCAGCACAGAACAGGCCACATCAGTCGTTTTACACTCGTGAAGGTTTTGACAAAGAGATCGGAGCAACCATGGATCTGTCCGGTGTGTTGTAACGATAATCCTTTCTAATCATTAATCACTAAGCGCTGTAATATCAATTGTTAACTCATCTCTACTGTATTCACCAGTACAGTGTGTAGACAGCTCGTGTGTTTACAACAACATTTCGTGTACTCACCAGCCCATGTCAATGTTGCCTGAAATATAAATAGGTGTAATTAGTTGCAGATGATTCAGTTAATGAGTGGATCAACGGATAGATGGATCAATGGCTAGATGGATCGATGGAACATGATAATAAATGTAGAGACTAAACTGTCAGAGAATGGTACAGCCCAACATTTATCCTTATGCAATCATACGGTATGCACGGAAACAGAGAAACTAGAAGACTAGACATATATCATCTTCCATCGATTGATAGTAATCAACAGTGGGGGCAAATCGTGAATTCTCTGTCTAGGTTATGCAGATGTTTGTGGGAAAATTACCTGTTTGATTATATATCTGCATCTCTGGGTAATGATCTATATAAGCATGAACAAACACTCATACAGAATAGGGATAAATATGCCTACACAACAGGAACAAACATCTATACACAACAAAAACAAACATCCATACAAAACAACAGGAGCAAGCATCCATACACAACAGGAACAAACATCCATACACAACAGAAACAAACATTCATACACAACAGGAACAAACATCCATACACAACAGGAACAAACATCCATACACAACAAGAACAAACATCCATACACAACAGAAACAAACATCTATACACAGCAGGAATAAACATCCATAAACCGCAGGAATAAACATCCATACACAGCAGGAACAAACATCTTTTTAGAATATGTGCAAAAATTCATCGAGGACAGGAAAAAACAATTTTACAAACCTGAAGGCAAACAGCGAGCAATAGGAACTTGATCATTGCCTCAACTCTAGCAGAAGATAATTGAGACAATATACACTAAATATAATTTACACTAACTCCATTATACAAAAATTACAATTAACACTAACTACAAAATACAATGATTACAATAGAAACTAATCACAATTTATTTTGACTTCAATATACACTAATTACAGTATGTACTAACTCCGTTATACACTAATTACAATTCACACTAACTACAATATAACTAACTAACTACAATATACAGTTGTCAAAACATACACTAACGACAATATACAGTTGTAAACTATATACTAACAACAATATACGGTGGTAAAAACATACATTAACTACAATAAACAGTAGTGAAAACATACACTAACTACAATATACATTAGTCAAAACATACACTAACTACAAAATACTGTAGTTAAAACATGCACTGGCTACAATATACGTTAGTTAAAACATACACTGACTACAATATACTGTAGTGAAAACAATCACTGACTACAATAGACATTAGTTTAAACATGCATTGACTACAATATACAATAGTTAAAACACACACTGGCTACAATATACAGTTGTTAAAACATACACTGACTACAATATACAGTAGTTTAAACATACACTGACTACAATATACTGTAGTTAAAACAATTACTGACTACGATATAATTAGTTAAAACATACACTGACTACAGTATACAGTAGTTAAAACATACACTGGCTACAATATATTGTAGTGAAAACATACACTGGCTACAATATACAGTAGTTAAAACATACACTTACTAGAACATACATTAGTTAAACATACACTGACTACAATATACAGTAGTTAAAACATACACTAACTACAATATACAGTAGTCAAAACATACACTGACTACAAAATACAGTAGGTAAAACATACATTAACATAGCTGAAACACATTATAGCCACAATATACACTAACTACAATTTACAATGCTTAAAGCATACAGTAACAGTATCTTAAACATACAGTTACCACGATATAGTACTACCTTTTTTTGCACACGACCAGAGATGGTTGAACAAAGATGTTCAAAGATGGTTGAGTCAAATTTAGGAGTATATATATATCATTTCTGTAATTACAGGGGCAAATAGTGAATACATTTATAGTCCCTAATTAGCACACATTTATAACAATTACCCATAGTACAAAAAAGAACCCATTAATTGTGATTTCCGTCGTGTGATTGAAGATATAATTTGTGTAAGTGATAATTTCCTAATTGTATAGAGCTGTTCTCATTGCGGGCAGTAAGTAAATCACCCCTTTCCACGTCCTTAGGTGCAATTATTATATAACGCTAGACCAGCTGGGCCATGTTGTCAACATCACGCCGAGTACTTTTACTTCCCAGGACTTTACCTAGAACACATTTTAACCAAAGTCCACCTAGGAGCGAAAGTAATTTTTTTTTAAACAAAATCAAAAAGGTCGACGCGGATTTGACATTACCACCTTCCGTATAATCTTAACCATTTTATGATTAATAACTAGCGATGACTGTCATCACAGCACTTCAGACAGGACAATTGGTGCTTCAGTCTCCCCCATCCTAGCCTCCAAGCTTAAAACGACTGATCACATCAGGTCTATGTTTAAAAAAAAAAGAATAAAAACTTTTATGCCTTTAGAGAAATATTTATTTTTGGCAACTCCAGGCTGCACACCCAGAATGTATGTGTAAGGAAATTAACAGACTCGAGAATCTGGTGACAGACTGCGAAACTGGTAAAATTGGGAGCAGAAAGCAATTTGAGAAAACAAAATTTAATAACTTGATGGCTTGGTAACGTGCAGAGGATAGGGTGGAAAAGGGGGAGGGCAGGACCAGTGCAATGACATGATACCTGATACTGCTGATCGTGTACAATGGCGAATTTTTACAGGTGGTGCTCTCTGGCACAACACATGATGATGAATGTAATAATTCCAGGAAGAAAATGGTGACGGTGGACCTGACATGTTTGGGAAACATATTGTATTCATTGTATATTGTAGTTATTGTATGTTGTAGTTATTGTATATTGTAGTCATTGTATATTGTAGTCATTGTATATTGTAGTCATTGTATATTGTAGTCATTGTATATTGTAGTCACAGCATATTGTAGTAATTGTATATTGTATTCACTGTATATTGTATCCATTGTATATTGCAGTCAATGTAGATTGAAGTCATTGTATGTTGTAGTCATTGTATATTGTAGTCATTGTATATTGTAGTCATTGTATATTGTAGTCATTGTATATTGTAGTCATTGTATATTGTAGTCACAGCATATTGTAGTAATTGTATATTGTATTCACTGTATATTGTATCCATTGTATATTGCAGTCAATGTAGATTGAAGTCATTGTATGTTGTAGTCATTGTATATTGTAGTCATTGTATATTGTAGTCATTGTATATTGTAGTCATTGTATATTGCAGCCACTGCATATTAAAGTCATTGAATGTTCTAGCTATTGTATATGTTGTAGTCATTGCATATTGTAGTCATTGTATATTGCAGTGATTGTTATTGTGGTCATTGTAGATTGTAGTCATTGTATATTGTAATCATTGTATATTGTAGTCATTGCATATTATAGTCATTGTATATTGTAGTCATTGTATATTGTAGTCATTATTTATTGTAGTCATTGTATATTGTAGTCATTGCATATTTTAGTCATTGTATATTGTAGTCATTATTTATTGTAGTCATTGTATATTGTAGTCATTGCATATTGTAGTCATTGTATATTGTAGTCATTATTTATTGTAGTCATTGTATATTATAGTCATTATTTATTGTAGTCATTGTATATTGTAGTCATTGCATATTGTAGTCATTGTATATTGTAGTCATTATTTATTGTAGTCATTGTATATTGTAGTCATTGCATATTGTAGTCATTGTATATTGTAGTCATTATTTATTGTAGTCATTGTATATTGTAGTCATTGCATATTGTAGTCATTGTATATTGTAGTCATTATTTATTGTAGTCATTGTATATTATAGTCATTATTTATTGTAGTCATTGTATATTGTAGTCATTGCATATTGTAGTCATTGTATATTGTAGTCATTGTATATTGTAGTCATTGTATATTGTAGTCATTGTATATTGTAGTCATTATTTATTGTAGTCATTGTATATTGTAGTCATTGCATATTGTAGTCATTGTATATTGTAGTCATTGCATATTGTAGTCATTGTATATTGTAGTCATTATTTATTGTAGTCATTGTATATTGTAGTCATTGTATATTGTAGTCATTGTATATTGTAATCATTGTATATTGTAGTCATTGTATATTGTAATCATTGTATATTGTAGTCATTGTATATTGTAGTCATTGTATATTGTAGTCATTGTATATTGTAGTCATTGTATATTGTAGTCATTGTATATTGTAGTCATTATTTATTGTAGTCATTGTATATTGTAGTCATTGTATATTGTAGTCATTATTTATTGTAGTCATTATTTATTGTAGTCATTGTATATTGTAGTCATTGTATATTGTAGTCATTGTATATTGTAGTCATTATTTATTGTAGTCATTGTATATTGTAGTCATTGTATATTGTAGTCATTGTATATTGTAGTCATTATTTATTGTAGTCATTGTATATTGTAGTCATTGTATATTGTAGTCATTATTTATTGTAATCATTGTATATTGTAGTCATTGTATATTGTAGTCATTGTATATTGTAGTCATTATTTATTGTAGTCATTGTATATTGTAGTCATTGTATATTGTAGTCATTATTTATTGTAGTCATTATTTATTGTAGTCATTGTATATTGTAGTCATTGTATATTGTAGTCATTGTATATTGTAGTCATTATTTATTGTAGTCATTGTATATTGTAGTCATTGTATATTGTAGTCATTGTATATTGTAGTCATTATTTATTGTAGTCATTGTATATTGTAGTCATTGTATATTGTAGTCATGGTATATTGTAGTCATTGTATATTGTAATCATTGTATATTGTAGTCATGGTATATTGTAGTCATTGTATATTGTAATCATTGTATATTGTAATCATTGTATATTGTAGTCATTGTATATTGTAGTCATTGTATATTGTAGTCATTGTATATTGTAGTCATTGTATATTGTAATCATTGTATATTGTAGTCATTGTATATTGTAATCATTGTATATTGTAGTCATTGCATATTGTAGTCATTATTTATTGTAGTCATTGTATGTTGTAGTCATTATATATTGTAGTCATTATTTATTGTAGTCATTGCATATTGTAGTCATTATTTATTGTAGTCATTGTATATTGTAGTCATTGTATATTGTAGTCATTGTATATTGTAGTCATTATTTATTGTAGTCATTGTATATTGTAGTCATTGTATATTGTAGTCATGGTATATTGTAGTCATTGTATATTGTAGTCATTGTATATTGTAGTCATTGTATATTGTAGTCATTGTATATTGTAGTCATTGTATATTGTAGTCATTGTATATTGTAGTCATTTTATATTGTAATCATTGCATATTGTAGTCATTGTATATTGTAGTCAGCTCATATTTATGGAAGCTGAGCTAGCCCCCCGCTCCCTTCCCCCTCGCCCCCCACCCACGATAAAATATTTTAAGTGTTCTCAATGCTCTCGTAAACAAGACACAGACGTTCTTTTTAAAGTATTAATTTACATACTTCATATTCTTTAAAACATTTTAGGACATCGTTCTCTCGGTGTGTGAATCGCCCTCTATCTCTCTTTCCACACACACACACACACACACACACACACACACACACACATGTATGTATATATATATATATATATAACATACATTTTGCTATTTAGAAAATAGTGAAAATGATGATAAAAAACATAACTATTTTTTA